TGTTGACCACAGCACTACGCCGCTTGGAGGAGCAGACCAAGGGCAAGCAGCAGTTTGCGCTAAGAGTTACCAATAAGGCCAGCTCGAGCACCAGATTTGTGGCCTTTGTTAGCGAGTGAAGCCTCGCACGACACTGATCCGAGGGAACCTCCACATCTCATCCCGCAAGGACGTTCCTCCGGGGAAACAATGAGGGAGCAACCGCCGCTCAACGCCGGCATGCATTCCATGCCAGCCGAAGAGGCTTCGGGCACCTCGCGCCAAAGCCTGACCCTCTAGAGCCGAAAGCACTTTGAGAAACATGGGGGTCCCGCCAGCACTGCGTGAGAGCGTGCGACCTTCATATACCCGCGGACGGGGCAAACCAACAAAAGCAGGAGAACGAACCACCACGCCTGAAAAAAGCACTGCCAGGTCAGCCCTGTCCCGACTGGGTAAGTTCCACCTGCAACGGGGATGCACGCCACTGCCGAAGATTCCTCCTGCATTGAGCTCACCAGACCGGCGGACGACAAACGATGTGCGGCAATAAGCATCGTCCCACCGAAAGGGACCCAGCTGCGTACATCCTCGTCCAAGCACGAAGCTAACCGATGGAGGGATGGCATGGAGCAAGATACCAGCCCAAGACTGCATCAGCAGCACAACGTCCTGAATGCAGATTTGCATACCATCGGCGCTCGCGCGAGCTCTGCAGATAACTGCTCTCACCCTCGACACCAGGACAAGCATTCCGGCATGGCCTGCTGAGAGGACCCATGGCCCATCTGATCCGTTCCCCGTGAAGCGACAGGCACTCAGCACACACCGCTTTTGAACGCCGTTTGCTCGGCGGTAACAATGTGTCATCTGCTAAAGATTCTGGGAGGTCTTTGATGAAGTTGACATTACGTATTTTTAGAATATCGTCATAGAGCGGTTGCCAACATGAATATATGTAGACAATGTTTTCAATTTTGTGGGATATTAAAGCGTCAGCATTTTCAATAATGTTCTTTAACAAAATATGTCTTGCCACAATTTGAAGGCCCACTAATAACAGAGCTAAAAGGATGCTGGAGCCTCGAGTCAAAAAGCTCTGATTTAAAATCCATAGGGTTTTGTAGAGTAGTCATCGAGCAAGCGACGTTTGTCGTATGTCACACGCAGTTTTTTAACAAGTGACCTGTTTTTGAGGTGAAAGCGTGTCTTATCTCTGGTAATCGTGTCAGATACTGTTATCAGATGTTCATCCGTCTCTCGATTAGCCATGAATTTATCTAACAAGTCTTTTAGAGAGTCGTGTGTCACGGTCTCCACATTTACCCCCCTCAGAGTCACACCTTTGCATTTGACTTGTTTGTCCCCTAGGGCCGTCTTGTAGGCATACGATTTAGGCCCTGTTGAGACAAATTCAGTAATGCTGTCTCCATTGCCGAGCTCATCGGTCAAATCACCTAGGAAGCCCCCTGTGGGTGGGATCCACTCACCACTTTTAGCTGTGAATATGACAGAGTCTGTATCACAATATAGCACTCTGTCTTGAAGCTTGTCCAGAAGTTCATATAACATGAGCCTTCCGTAGGATGTTGTCATGGCCCCGATGAAAATGTTACAATCTTTTGCATGCGACTGAACCCCATTAGCATAGCGCCACTGTACTATAGCCATTGCATTGGAAATGAAGTGGAATTGGGTGACTTCAAAATGATCAGAAAACATGAGTTGCATAAAACGCGCAGGATCTGTCACCATCTCTGTATGCCCAAGATTTGAACGTTGACAGAATTTACCCCACAAATTAGTCAGTAACAATTTGCTACAGCTCCGTCGCGTCTTATTAGGTTTGATGTTATGACGATCCAGTAAAATACCTTCACGTTCGTGATATTCATCAATGTATTTCTCCTCATCCTCGGGTGTTTTCACATGATCAGGATAGCCACTGGCTTCCTGTTTGCTTTTCAAAAACTTTTTGACATAGCCTTTAAACAGTTGATCTGATTTTTCAGCAAAATGCCACACTTCGTGAATTTTCTGTACAATGTAACCTTTTTCCACAGCTTTTAACACTTCGGAAATAGGCCATGTCCCTGTGAATTCTCGTTCTGTGCTAGTGTGATCACACTCGGTCATTTGATTCAATTCTGTCGCGCATGTTTTACATAGAGTTGAAAAACAGCTTGTCATGCATTTTATGGGGTAACACAGGATGTAACAGTCCTCTAGGCGGCAATACTACGCATTTTACAAATCCGAAATATGCTTCTAGTGGTTCAAAATCACCAATGATGATTTGTGGGTGACCTATGGGGTATTCTTTGCACGCTTGTACAGACGGATATAAACTTGTGTAATCATAGTAGAGTATTTTTACACCGTTAGACACCTTGTAATATAACTTTATGGCATTTGTCCGACCTCCATAAAGAGCATCACGTGGATTTAAACGCTCTGGACTTTTGTAATCTTTGAGAAATTCTTTCACAGAAGCATCTGTTTTAGTTAACTTGTTCCATTCGCATTCCCACATGACTACCACATTGGATTGATCTTTCAGGTTTTTTATTTTGTCAATGGTTGCAATGTAGAGATCACTAAAAGTCTTTTTAGATAGGTGATTCATCCCTCCCGGTGGGTAACACTTTTCATGTCCATGAATAAAGCACCCAAAGAACTCGTAACATGTGTTTGTAGAGGGGTTATAGCCGTCTACGTGATAGCGGCCAATTTGCTTTTCACCCCCTTTGAGAGCGTGTTGTATTGTTAACCCTGTGGTTTTACAGAGGTATTCGAGCCATTTGATTGATCCGTCAGAGAAACACTTGTTGGCCCCGTTATAACAGCCGTCATATGTTAGAGCTATTGTGTTTTTCTCCAGGAATACCGTTTTGTAAACACCCATACAATAACTTGGGAGAGTTACAAACGTGTACGGATCCACCTCTGTTCCAGAGAGTAACATTTCACGGTAGAGCAGACAGCCACGTCTGAGAACAGCTACGTCATTGAGACAATAGCGTTGCATTTCAAATTGTAGATTGAATTCTGTATGTTTCACACTGTCATACCACTCGTTGAATTTAACTTTCTGCGCTTGATCCATTTTGTCAACGCCGTAAAAGGCTGGTTCAGGGTAGGGGCCTATATAACACTCATTTTCTTTGGTGTTAAATAAATGAGGGAAATTACCCTTTTCTAGGTCGTCAAACCCTAATGCTTCAGGTATACGTGCTAAACGCATAGGCAGAAAACTGAACGAGTCCAGCCATCTTTGTCTAAGTCGCTTGTCATACATGCAGAGCACACGTGTGCCTCTCACGGTGAGACTAGGGGTTAGCCCCTGTCTCGCGAACTCTTCTAGGATTAAATAGTTGTCGAAAGCCGCTGCATTGTGTGCTATGAATGTGTAATCACGAAACTTTGGTGTTCTAAAATATTTCAACATTCGTTTAACACAACCATCGTGTGAAAAGTTATATTTATCACCATCCTGATCAAGCGTACAGACTAAGACGGGGACATGCTTGTTACCATCGTACCTTGTCTCAAAATCATAAAAAATGTAGTTGGTTGTCTCTTGAACCACTTTTAAAGGTTTGATGTAACAGCTATGTTGCTTTTCACCACCTTCAGGGAGCTCAGCATCACAGTGGATGCATATTGGAATTTTACACACGTGTTTTTTAGCTGTGTTGTGATACAGATGTTTACATTCTTCACAATATGTCACAGAAAAGCAAGGTATTCTATCGTGGACGGGGTCAGGGAGTTTATGCTGATTAAAGCAGTGGGTAGATTTACAGATGCGTTTACATTCTGGACATTTAATTGTTATGTTTTCCCCTGCTGTCCCACACTGTGTGTAACAGATGTTACAAAGGTATTTACAGAGATGGTGCAAACTAGTACCGTATGGCTTGAGACAGTATTTGCACACATATGGACTCCCAAAGAACCCCGTTTTATTTTTGATATGATAGTAATGATTCTCATAAAGGTATAAGGCTATTGTGCATTCGTGCATTCTATCCTGTGTTTCAAATGATTGAAGACGTTTAGTCGGTGGATTGTTATGAAAAACAACAATTTTTATGTTCAACAGATTCTCAAACTTTGACACATCATTCAGTGTCACGTTTGTTTGTTGATCCAGACCAACTGCGGCTTGCCACTCTTTGGCTTTATCGAGTAATTTACTATGGGTATAGTTCGCATGAAATGCATGGGCTATACACATGGCAAAACACAATGCATTTTCGGTATTGTGAGGGTTATAAAGAAATTTACCTTTCTTTAGCAATATTGTATCGTAGGCTACTGCACCAAGTTTGAGCCGCAGACCACCACCACTTTGTGAATGTGCTATACTCACTATTAATGTCATTTCATCTTCTATAATGGACTTGTCGTTACTTTGTAACACTTTTTCCACTTCCTCTAAAAAATGGTCAACATTGTAGTTATTGTCAGAGTTCAAAATAACTTGAATATCGTCACTAAGCGAGGGCCCTCGTAATGCAACATTCATCACACATCCTTGTTCTGCATTGTTTACAGCCTGTGTTATTAACCCTGTTAATTTTTCATTTACTCTTTCACAAGCCTTTACGGTATCTGTAGGGTCTATACCTCGAAAATCAATGTGCTCAGACATTACCGTGGTATTAAACTCTGATATTACGTTAACATGGACCTCCCCACCTGATTGTACGTTAGCGGGGACATCACTTTGTTCAGTAATCTGTACAACACCACCCACTTGTATGGTCTCGTTACCCTCCAAGGGGTCTGACTCTGTGTGAACTATACAATTTCTTGAAACATTGTTGTGTCGACTTAAAACAGAGCTGCGTGTAGGTGGTTCGTCATTTTGCGTATCCATTTCTATAGTTTGACTATTAATACCTACACAGTTGTTTGTAGGTTGTTGTATTGTGGGTTGTATAGTATCTTTACTTATTGACTGGTTAACATTATCAGCATTTGAGGTAATGTCTGCTAGCGAAGCCCTTTCAGCTATGGTCGGTGCTATTAACCGTTCTGCAGCATGGGATGCACTTTGATGATTTGTACGAATTAGTCGATCAATACACGGATACGGTTGTTTGATAATTAGTACGATCAGTGTTACGCGTTGTTTGATAATTAGTACGATCAGTGTTACGCGTTGTTTGATAATTAGTACGAATTAAACGTTCCACTGATGCATAAGTGTTAGAGCGCTGGCCATAATTAATTCTTATTTTTTTAGGAAGTTGAGAGGGTGCTGTAGCGTTAGGTCTTTTAGTGTGCTTCACAATCGTAAGCATTTTCGATGGCTTTCAAATGAGAAGTGTTTTCATTGATTTGCTCTATAACAGCCGCTATAGACGTGCTCGCTTGGTTATCCACTTGTGCAATTCTATCAGCTATTACGTTTCCCGTGTTTTTAAGGTGGTTGATTTCAGTAGTCAAATTTTGAATTTGTATTTCCCCGCGTAAGGTTTTTGTTTCTAATTCCCTGTTGTGTATAGAGGCTTTCGTGTATTGAGTTTGCAATTGTAGGACCTCTCGTTGAAGCGCGCGTGTCTGTAGTTGGGCTCGTTGGCCTCTAGCGCGTAGTTTAGCTCTGTGTATGGTAGCGTTTGTACGCTGATTTTGCAACACCAACACTTGTTTAGTAACTTTTACGTGCTCAGTTTGAAGATGGTGAACTTGTCTCTTTAACTGATGTATTTCGTTAAGTATACGGGCCTCTGTGTATTTTACTTGTTGGTTCACAGTTGCTAGACACCTGTCTGTATGTATCTCTGCACTAATACAACGTGCCTTGGTTGACTTCAATTCCTCACGTATGTTGGAGAGCTCTGTTTTCACAAACGTTTTTTCACTAGTGTTGTTTAACAGATGTGTGTTTTCTTGTAGAGTATTCACCTTTGGTGTTAAAGCATTCTTTACAGGCCCTTTTGCTGCATCAGGAGCTGCTGCGTGTCCAGATATTGGTTCAAAGTATTCCTCACGGTCCGGGAATGGTGTTCCTGCGTTTAATACATCTTGATCGTTGTTTGGTATACCTTCATCGCGTATAATGGCATCAATGTCGAGTGTCGCTATAAAATCGATTATGTTGAAATCCTGGTTTACTGAGGGCTGATTCTCTGTGTCTTCGTCACCCTCTGATGAGCTAAAATAGTGAGAAGAAAATTATAACCTCTATCATTATAAAATTATAATATGTAACTCACCTTTTATCATCATCATCATCCCCGTGATTAGTTATTTTGTGTCCGTTGCGGCGTGATAGAATTGCTCTAGAAAAAAAAAATATACCTCTCATAAAACTTGTTATATAAAGTTAGTATATGTACCGACTTACGGAGCTTTATGTTGATGTAATTGTTTTAATTTATGCATCAGGGGCATTGACTTGGTGTTTAATTTACCTGTGCTGTATAAAATGAAATAAAAGTATTAAACATCTGATTAAGACATTAAGGAAAATGAGATCTTACCCTATTTCATCCGTTGGCTGTATACCTCTCGTAACTTTTGCTGTTGGAGTTAAATCTTCATCGGTGTTATAATGTGTCAATAAACGACCCTTTCCTAGAGATAAACTAAATTAAAACATTTAATATGAATACTGAAAAATGTTATATTAATAACTTACCTGTATTAGACATATTGCATAACCTTCTCTTAGACAGTGTGACAGGCTCCAGAACAGGAGGTTGTCTACCTCTTTATTCCAACTCAGGCTGTCGGGGCCATCATCGGCAAGAAGGGCCAGAACATCAAAAATCTCGCCCACTTCGCTGGAGCATCCATCAAGGTTTGTACAATAAAGTTTAATGTTTCTCAGCCCTTTTAGGCTGTTTGGATTCTCAGATCAAATGTGTCTTTGTCATCATTTGTGGGAAGAATATGATCCGAAGAATTTGTGTGGCTGGTTTAATGTTCTTTTGCATCGTCATAACAACCACAGTGGATTGTTGTGTTTTACCGTCAACAAAAGCAAATTCAGAGTTGACAATGAAGATAACAGTTTTGATCATGACTGTGTGTCTCAGATCGCACCAGCCGAAAACCCAGATGTGCACTTACGGAAGGTCATCATTACCGGATCGCCAGATGCTCAGTTTAAGGTAAATCCTAAAGTGTGAATGGAACCTTTTCTCTTTGTTCCTTTCTGTCTCATCTTATGTAATGCCACATCAGGGTCCAAATGGTTTGATCCCATTACCCCCCGACTCCACCGGGCGCGTCTCCGTTGACGCGCGTTGGCTGCTGTCCGTCAGCCGTCCGTAAAACGGACCAGTGGTCAAACCGGCTGCAGCAGCATGCAACTCTGGCTGTGCGTTTATCAGCCTGCTTTATTTTTGTAGGAGACATGTTTGGGCATTGTGTGAATGAATGAATGTTTGGCTGATGGAGGAGTTATGTATTGTCGGCGTGCATGTGTGCGTGAGCGTGTGCGTGAGAGCGCCCGTGTGTGTGTGTGTGTGTGTGTGGTGGGAGGCGTGTGCGTGCATGTGTGTTTGGGTCTGTGACTGCAGCGTTTATTATGATCCAGCCTCTTCGTTTGTTTTCTACTTATTTAGCGCATGATACACTTTTATCGGAGCCAACTCGCCTCTCTGCGGCTTTAGGCAACAGGCAGCCGCTATAGTTTTAAATAGAAGAAGCGGTGTGTGATGTGCATGAGCTGTGGCTATGATCAGTGCAAAGCACAGCATATTGAAGCATTGAGGACGTCGCGATGGATGAGGCAAAACTTATTGAAAGCAATTGGAAAAAGGGGAGAGAGAAAAGAACTCCAACATATCCAGTGTTGTGAGATCTGTCTCTCATAAGTGCAGCTCTGTGTGTGTGTGTGTCTGTCTGTCTGTCTGTCTGTCTGTCTGTCTGTCTGTCTGTCTGTCTGTCTGTCTGGGAGCGCGCGGCGGTGAGGAGAGAGCGCCTCGGAGGTAGACGGGACAGAAGAGCGAGGTGTATGTAAAGATTAACATTACGCGAAAAATAAATGGTAGATTTACGATCAGGAAACAATTATTTAAATTAATACATGAAAAACATTACACACGTTTGTTAATAATCATTGTCATTAACAAATACTTATAACCAAGGACTACAGCATATATCAATACATGTTTAACAATGTTGTAAATATATTATTCCATTGCATTTTCAATGGAAAACGGACCCGACACGCGTCGACGGACGGAACAAATAGGATTGTTTCTATTTCGTCCGTCCACGTCTTTTGCACCCTCCGTTGACGGAATAGGTCCGACGTGCGTTGGACGGACGCATGCGGAGGCAGTGGAGCCACTTCCATTCACTCTCATGGAGATAACGGAGACGGAGATGAAACGGACATGTTTGGACGGATCCGTCGTCCGTTTTACGCGCCCGGTGGAGTCGGGGCCTTAGAATTGTATTAGACAGGGTAATGAATACATATCCGCTCGTCAAAGCCTGATCCCGTCAGATCTCAGAAGCTAAACAGGACAGGGCCTGGTTAGTACTGTGATGGGTGACTGCTGGGAACACCAGGTGCCACAGCCACAATTGTTGTTGTGTCTGTGGGATCTCTGTGAAGGAAGGTGTCTGTTCATCACCATCAACACTAGTGGTGCAATGGTTCATCACTGATCCGTGATCCGTTCGGATCAACGTCTTCGGTTCGGTACAGACGTGATCCGCGGAATTTAAGCAGCCCCTTTATGCACAGTCAGACCGGACTAAACTCTCGCATCCACAGTTGCGCTCACGACTGACGCTTGGACGTCCCGCAGAACCTATTATAGATCCATGAGCGGCACGGAGAGCTATGTTGCGATAACCGCTCACTTCATCACAGCAGACTGGGAGATGAAGAGTCCGGCGCTGTAGACACGCCCCCTCTACGAAAGTCACACAGGCACACAGCGCAGGCACTGACACAAGCAGTGGAGGAATGGAAGACAAAGGCCCAGTACTAATATCCCAGTCACAATTGATAATGCCAAAAAATAAATAAATGCGGTGAATGAGGCTGGACTGGGCCCAGAATGGAGCGCCTCCTTTGGAGAATCAGGTGGTTTAATGTATGAGGCATATTCCATCCATCTATCCATTTTCTTCCCCTTAATCCATTTCTAGGTCAGGGGGGGCAGTCAGAGCAGGTGCCGAGTCCACATGAGTCGTGTTTATTAAAAAGACAAAACTTTTTTTGGTTGAAAAATGAACCAAAAAAGGAACCGAACCGTGGCCTCTAAACCAAGGTACGATCCGAACCGTGATTTTTTCAAACCGTTGCACCCCTAATCAACACGTGGATGAACTTAAGGGAATATTTTGTGTTATTTTGTTTGTATTATACAGATCATATATGTTTCATTTAGTGTTATTTTCTGTCCTGGACATGTTTAAATAAATGGACTGCAAACACTACATAAAAACATTTGTACTTTTTACATTCCTGCTGCCTTGTCTCTCCCCTCGGCCTCTCAGCTCATGTGTATGTTCCAGGCTCAAGGTCGGATATTTGTGAAACTCAAAGAGGAGAATTTCTTTTCACCAAAGGAGGAAGTCAAACTGGAGACGCATATCAAGGTTCCCTCCTCTGCAGCGGGCAGGGTCATCGGCAAAGGCGGAAAGACGGTGAGAAGCCTTGGCATCGATAATATATGAAGGTAACATTTAGGATGCGCATACAAGTGTGAAGCCTGTGTGCGTTCTCAGGTAACAGAGCTGCAGAATCTTACAAGTGCAGAGGTCATAGTACCGCGGGACCAAACTCCGGACGAGAACGATGAGGTGTTTGTGAAAATCAGTGGACATTTCTATGCCAGTCAGGTACGGAACAACACAAACTTCACACTGCACTTCAATGTTTGTAAATACTGTATGTCTGTATGTTGTTCGTCTATGTGTTTTCGCAATGTTGTTTTTATATGTCTGAATTAATGATTAAAGAAAATATATTGAATAAACCAGCAATTGTAATCTCTAATGGTCCTTTTTTAGGTGTAAAGTTACAGAACTGTCTCTTTGCTATTATAACATGATATATGGATTATAAATGTAGTCTCTCATGCCTTAAGCAGATATAGAGATGGGATTATATTGTCACAGTCTGAGCTTGTATAAAATAACAGGGAGAGCTTCGAGAAAATGGACAGAATAGCTGTTTAGAGGTTTGTTGCTAACAAAATCCTTGTGCCACATTTCTGCACTTGTTTCTTTAGTCTGGACTTTTGTTTATAGACTAAAGTTTTTAAACACTTTAGGGGATTACATCATTGAGTTTTTCAAGCAGCAAAACAAAACCTTCTGGGACCTTGGCAACAAAAAGTGATTCACAGCACCCACAAAAGCCAATGGTTTACTTGACTTTCACAGACAGTTTTGTAAATTGTTTGGTGCTACTCTGACATAAAGGCTATGTTGGTATTTTGATTTGTTTTTGTAGTCTGGCAAGAAGTCTGATGACCCTCTGTGGGAGGAGCTGTAGTATTTTAACTGTATTATATTTAAAACCAAGAGAAAATACTGTCATTTTGAGTTTTTGTTGTATTGGTCAGCTTATGATTGTATTTAAATTACAAGAATTTATATTTCAGATTTCATATTTAAGTTTGTGAGATATGTGATCATTTTTAGTCGGCAAAGATGACCTGGGCTTGTGTTTAGTCGACCAAGAATTTCCTTGGACGAGAACAGCTCTAGAAATGATGGACGTGTCTTGTTTTGCTCATCACCATCCACTTCCATAATGATATTGTCATCTATCTTCCCTCAGAGTGCACAGAGGAAGATCCGCGAGATCGTTCAGCAGGTCAAACTCCAGGAGCTGAAGCACCAGTCGAGTGGCACGGTGTCACCGCACCACGCTAAGTGACCCCCTCCCGGCTCCTGCAGGCACCAGCCAATGAATGTAGCCCTCCCACCGACTGACCACCCACACAGGCCACAGCCAAGGGCACTGGCAGGGCCGACCAGCACCGGGATCAAACCAAAGAACTTTTGGAGGGAAACAAGGAAGAGCCAAAGGCTGAGGGCATTGTGTGCACTGCCAGCCCCGTGAGTCAGACACATCGTACTGATAAGAAAATAACACAAAAAAGACCAAAAAAATCTACAAGACATGTGAAAAAAGTTGGAGAATTGGTATCTGTTGTCTTCACATAAAAACAGAAATAGTGTCGCCCTGCATAACGTTATCTCTTCAGTTGGACTAACATAGGCCTAACATTCAGATGAAACATTGGTACTAACACACCTGTGATTTGTTTTGGTTTACAAAGAGCGCAGAAGACAACGGACGCCTTTTCGCTCTTCGAAGCTGGAGAGAAGTTAAAATTTTCCGTAGCAGTATTAATGCAGAGTAGATGAGTATACTGACAACACTACACCCATGCTGTTATTTGTATTGAAATGACGGTCGGACTAGTGTCGCTTTGAACATGTTGCTTGTTCCAGACACTGAGCCAGGTTTTCCTGTGTTTCTCTTTGAGAACGGAGACATCCCTGAAGCAAATCTCGTGACTGAGTTTTGTAACAAGCCTGTGCCAACGCAAAAGATAACGTCCCCTCTCATCACTCAGCTAATGCTACTATCGTTTCTTTAGCCTCCAAATCACATTTCTCATTGCGCACTCTCATCTGCCATCTTTTGAAATTATTGTCCGCTATTATACCGTGTATTGTTTTTTCTGTAGCCTTTCGATAACATCAGACTGACTGCCACTTTTGCTCAACAGAGGTCAAAGCTAAGATTTTATTTTCCACCATTTCTGTCATCTTCCCATGCTATTCAGGAGACTGTATCTACATTCATGCTTGTCGTCTGGCCAAACTATTCAAAAATACTGATTATATTGAATCATTGGGGGACATCCTGTTTGATGGCCCTAGAAAAGAATAGACGTCTTAAATAAATTGGTGCACTTAGCAGGCGACTTTGAATGTGCACCTTGGAGCGCTCAGCCTTAGGGGCCAGAGAGGAGGCAGTGGTCGGGGGGTGGTGTTTCGTATTTGGGAGGGAGCACTGGATGACCTGTGGGCCACACAACCCGGCCACAGCGTTTGGCTTTAACCCTCTCTTGTCAGGGAGCTTTCTGAATTGGGCATGACAGCTGTGAATGTACGATACGCAGCCTTTTCTGAAGAATCTTGCCCCTGTGGTGTCCAACCTCGGGCCCACTGCGCTGGAGCGGCAGGTGCACTGTCCCCTCTGGGCTTTACTTTGGAGACAAGGAAGCGTTGCCTTATTTTGTCACCTTTTTAAACATCACTATCTGCTTCATCTTCCGACACAGGTTATTGCCAATACGCACAGCTTCCCCTGTGTGCGGTGTGTGTGCGTATGTGTGTGCGTGTATATATATAAAAAAGAGAGTAATATTTATGAATCTATTTTTTCCTATTTTGTGATGAGAGCTATTGATAAGAAACAAAAGAAAACAAAGTCCTTTTCTTTTCCTCAGTGGGACACTGCCATATTATTTTGAAGGGAAGTGTTTATTTTCTTGAAAACCAGACTATGAATACTGAAAATAATATAAAAATCTGAAAAATGGGAGAACAGTGAAGTGACCAGCGTGTGAACTTTGGTCCGACGTGAACAGTGAGCATGTCAGTATTGTGATCTACCTCAGGCTTCAGGGTACCTCAGTCCAATCTGTCATTTCTCCTTTTCCACATTTTGTATGCCTTGTTAACTAATCATTTTAAGCGTTTTAATTTGTTTTCTTTTTTTATTGAATAAATGATAAAAAGGACAAGAGAAACTATTCAATACAGTAATCTCCAAACTCTTCAGATCCAGACAGCTAGAGACCTTCACAAAGGGTAGAGCTGGACTGTCAGCCTGGACAGTGTACAGCGGATCCTAATACACACGGACCTGTCCAACGTGGTTCTGAATGTGGGTGTTGTGTTCTGAATTCACCACATTTCTAATGTTAAAGGGGAAGAAAGTGACACATTTGGACTTGCTCTTAGTCTGTTCATCCATGATGTCTCTGATCTATTAAACGACACTGCAGCTTAGTGCTTCTCCACCTCTGTCAGTCACGACCCACATAATATCAAAAGGAGCCTTGTGTAGTGCTGAAATCTCCTGTGGGATCATTTCAATTATATCTGGGGACATTTATTGGATAATTTAAACTTTTTTAACAAATAAAAACCGGAAAAGTGGGGCGTGCAATATTATTCGGCCCCTTTACTTTCAGTGCAGCAAACTCACTCCAGAAGTTCAGTGAGGATCTTTGAATGATCCAATGTTGTCCTAAATGACTGATGATGATAAATAGAATGCACCTGTGTGTAATCAAGTCTCCGTATAAATGCACCTGCTCTTTGATAGTCTCAGGGTTCTGTTTAAAGCGCAGAGAGAACCATGAAGACAAAGAAACACACCAGGCAGTTCCGAGATACTGTTGTGGAGAAGTTTAAAGCCGGATTTGGATACAAAAAGATTTCCCAAGCTTTAAACATCTCAAGCAGCACTGTGTAAGCAATTATATTGAAATGGAAGAAGTATCAGACCACTGCAAATCTACCGAGACCCGGCCATCCCTCCAAACTTTCATCTCAAACAAGGAGAAGACTGATCAGAGATGCAGCCAAGAGGCTCATGATCACTCTGGATGAACTGCAGATAACTACAGCTGAGGTGGGAGAGTCTGTCAATAGGACAACAATCAGTCGTGCACTGCACAAATCTGGCCTTTATGGAAGAGTGGCAAGAAGAAAGCCATTTCTCAAAGATATCCATAAAAAGTCTTGTTTAAAGTTTGCCACAAGCCACCTGGGAGACACACCAAACATGTGGAAGAAGGTGCTCTGGTCAGATGAAACCAAAATCAAACTTTTTGGCCACAATGCAAAACGATATGTTTGGCGTAAAAGCAACACAGCTCATCACCCTGAACACACCATCCCCACTGTCAAACACGGTGGTGGCAGCATCATGGTTTGGGCCTGCTTTTCTTCAGCAGGGACAGGGAAGATGGCTAAAATTGATGGGAAGATGGATGGAGCCAAATACAGGACCATTCTGGAGGAAAACTTGTTGGAGTCTGCAAAAGACCTGAGACTGGGACGGAGATTTATCTTCCAACAGGACAATGATCCAAAACATAAAGCCAAATCTACAATGGAATGGTTCACAAATAGACGTATCCAGGTGTTAGAATGGCCAAGTCAAAGTCCAGACCTGAATTCAATCGAGAATCTGTGGAAAGAGCTGAAGACTGCTGTTCACAAACGCTCTCCATCCAACCTCACTGAGCTCGAGCTGTTTTGCAAGGAAGAATGGGCAAGAATTCCAGTCTCTCGATGTGCAAAACTGATAGAGACATACTCCAAGCGACTTTCAGCTGTAATTGCAGCAAAAGGTGGCGCTACAAAGTATTAGCACAAGGGGGCCGAATAATATTGCACGCCCCACTTTTCAGTTTTTTATTTATTAAAAAAGTTTGAATTATCCAATCAATTTCGTTCCACTTCACGATTGTGTCCCACTTGTTGTTGATTCTTGACAAAAAATTTAATTTTTATATCTTTATGTTTGAAGCCTGAAATGTGGCGAAATGTTGAAAGGTTCAAGGGGGCCGAATACTTTCGCAAGGCACTGTATATTCACAAGAACACATGGCCAGTAGGGATTCATCTATTGAATGTTTTAAAGCACAAGCTTTTGCCTTTGCTGGTACCTACTGATGTCTACTAGCATGGGTACTATATAAAATCAGTAACAGCTGAGCCATACACCTGTAGGGGAATGGTTGATTGTTTATGAGGGGGTTGCAAATATTGTTATTTCTTATCCAAGTGTCACTTACTTCTCCTTTAATCCTGCGTAAACCTAACAACTGTACCTCCTGTTTTCCCGAACAGTACCTTCAGGTTTTTCCAAGACTTTTTACTAAAGCAGTACAAATGTTATTTTCTATTAACTCCCTGTACTTACCAGCTCTATTTGATAAAACTGAACCACATATACTGGGCTTGATTTGAAAGACGCTGCAAAAATACACTGACAAACCTATAGTCGTCTGTGTAGAATGTGGACTCTTTAACTATGTCACTGTGTTATAACCTGTAAACATGTACAATAGCCACACAGCCAGATACCATCGTCTCAAATCCTACATCGACTTTTTTTCCTTTATTGTGCTGTAAATTTGAGAATTACCTCTTGTGAATCCAACGCTGACTTAGTTACTAAAACCAGTAACAGTAAAAGTGAGCTTTCATTTTGCATTTCAAATTGCAAAAGTTATAGTCATCAGATGAGGTTTTATTTTTCAGTCCCAAATGAACACAAATAAGCTGAAATAAAACTACCAAGGTCTAACGTCACAAAATGCCTCTCAACAGCCGAAACAGTACCTCATTCTGATACTAGCTCACCAAACCAGATCGCCATCATTTAACATGCAGTAAACTAGGTGTAAGCTGCTCGTTCTGCGATGCATGAGTTCGCTATATAGAGCATGTTTCTTTAAAGCCACACTGGACTTGTTCTTGTCTTCTCTGAGAATAGATCTCCCAGTCTTGTCTTGTGCTTCTGGATAAGTTTTAGCAGCCAGAAATCAAGGAAAAACTTTGTCAATGATATATATTTTTCCAAGGATTTGGCATTTCTTAGTTTTGTGAGGTGTTGGTAGGCTTTCTAAATAACGGTACCAGAATAAACCAGCTTCACACATCACTGAAGATGTTGTCATACCACAGTGGTTGGGTAGTTTTGACATTTTTGTTTTGTTAATCTGGTTTTCATTTAATAATCTACCATAGTCTGATTAAAGTAGCTGGGATTCTTTGCTTTGAATATTCATTCCTGTTAGATCACTACCAAAACTAGCAGTTTTGAAACTATATATAATCTAGGAATGGAAAGCTGTAATGACTTGTGATGCAAAGTAGTGGATTGGTAGAAGTATCCAGATATGATTTTGAGCGTAAACGTCTATACGAGGGGAAACTCGGAAGAGCCTTGACTGAAAGGACAGGTTAAGTTTGGTGAGAAGTATGCAGAGCCACAACAGTGTTTTTGGATGATGATTTTGCTTCAGGAGAAACACAAAGCATTGCATGAGGCTGTCGTACTGTAGTCACTTCAGTACTAGATTTCCAGTCAAATGGTTCATCTTTACCTGCATTTTGCCATTTGAGGTTCTTTCGTTTCTCACTGAGATAACTATAGCATCAATAGTCACAGCCGTCAAATCCTTTATCTCGCTTGAGTCTCAAGGTCCTAAACACCTCAATGTAATCGTGGTGGTTTTGCCGGAAATGTACTGTTGCGATGGCTGCCTTTCCGGTGAAGGCCGCACTGTTGTTATGAGTTGTGAGTGAACTGTATTGCTGAGCAGCCTGGATCTGAGCAATAAAGACTATTTGAAAGAATCACCTTGGCTGTTTGTTGTTTAATGATGTCAAAGGATGACACACCTTTTGTGACATTACGTAGCTCATATTTCACAGCCAAAACATCGACAGAAAGTTCACCTCGAGAGACAACAGAAAATAAAAAAACAAAATAAACTGTGCAAAGGCTCCAATTCACTTTTCAAAGACAACAAAAAGACACATTACGTACACTCGTACATCTGAACTGGAAACTAGTATACTGATCAATGGCAGTACTGAGCTTAGAATGTACAAATAATTTACAAAAACATCTATTTTGTGTAATCACAGTTAATTTTAGGTTTGTGGTAGGGCTGGACGATATATCGGAAAAATATCGTTATCGCAATATCCATATGGAAAAGATGCGTGATAAAAGACAACAAAGAAGACAGACACATCAACATTCAACAAGAATAAAAAACAAACAAACGTATATAAATATATGCATTTGAATGTCATTAATGTTGTGCTTATTTTTTGTCATTTGTCTCTTGCGTTTCAATGCAGATTGCAATTTTAGGTGAAAAACCAAAATATCGCAATAATATCGTTATCAAAATACTAAACACTCCTATCAAATATCGCTCTAATTTCCAATATTGTGCAGCCCTAGTCTGTGGCATAGAATCATAATCAGTCAGGTCTATGAAAAACTGAAACAGCAACAAGTAGTGGAGCCAGCACCACATTTAGTTGTAGAAAAACGTGTTTGACTTCACTGATTTTCATTTAGCCAAAACGTGTTGCATCATCACAATTGCAAATCTCAACAAGAACAAGTTTAAAATACCATGGTCCAAATACTCGTTTTGGTTTCACATAAAGAATAATAATCTGTTTAGTTGTAGTTACTCCCAAAGTTCCAAAAGGAGAATGTACCTCACATAGATTCCCAGGCATAGCAGACCCTCTTACATTCAGTCTAAAGCAGTGTGGTCATATAAATCCTCCTCAACACACTGAACTCAGTCAAGCCCGGCTGAGGTAGGACGTGTCCACTGATGCATGACAGGCACTTTGAAACACTTTCACCAAAAATACCATCATACGTATCGGTAATGTCCAAAAAGTGTCACCATATTCACTTTACTTTTTTATCCACTATTCCATTGTGTGTCGGGAAATCCAGTTTGAGTCTCCTCTGGCTGAGGTGGCGGATGAGTGCACCAGGAAGCAGGGCCACACAGGCAATGGCCAACAGCTGCAGCAGACGATCCCAGGAAAACAAGCCATCGAGGGACGTGAGCTCCGACAGCATGACCCCCGTTTGAACACAGATGAAGTTATAGGGCAGGAGACCTGGGGCAGAGAGCACAGGTGACCTACACACTTCAAGCTGCCATTTTGTGAGGTTAGGTTTTCCTTTGGTGTTTTTTTTTCAGCAATTGCATCATTTATAAGAGTTAATCAAATATAATAATAATACTAATATAAAAGGACAAAAACAATTATGTAATACAACCACCCATCCGTCAGCTGTTTTATGCCCTTGTGCTATTTTTATTTTATTTAAAAAAAAATGTTATTTTTAATAAATTTACAAATCATTTAACAAGAAAACCTTGCAAAAATTGAATTGAAAAGAAACCCATTACATTTCCATGGTCACATGACCATTGGAATGAAATGCCCCCTCCCACCCCAGAGTCTAGTTATGAGGGAAGTTTTCAAATAGTTCATCCCTGAGCCTCACCCTAAGGTGCTCCTTGAATTCCCCCAAAGTTTCACTAGAGACACAGTCAGAGTCCAGCATGTTCCACATCCTGGCGGCCAGAGTGAGACACGATCTCTGCATGATGTGGGCACTGGGCAGTGTCCCGTCTGGAAAAGCACAGCTGACCCAGCACTCATGGTACGGCAGGACTCTTTGTGTGGGTCGGTATGGTCCCAGCGCAGCAGGCGAGAGTCCATGGAACAATTTAAAACCAAAGCATGCAAGCGCAAAGTCCCGCCTTGTTTGAATAGTTGTTAGTCCGAGCGCTCTATAATGCTCTGCTGTCAACTGGGCACGATACGGCAGATTTAGAATAATACGTATGCATCTTCGTTGGATGCTCTCTAAACAGTTTATGAGAGTCTTTCCTATGCCACAGATCAGCACTGAGCAGTACTCTAGTCGGGTAGTTACGTAGCAATACTCGCTGTCAAGATCACTTAACAGCTATTAAATTTGGTTTCTGTTATGATTGATGAGAATTAATAATAATAATACGGTGCAGTTAATCATGAGGGTAAATGAATCAAGTTTGTTGTTCCTTTCCAAGCTGCTTTACAGTATTAAATGACATTATCTTGTTTCTGTGAGAAGATTTACAGTATGCAATAGTCTTATGTGTTCTATAGTTTAGGGGCCTTACCAATGAGGACAGAGCCAAAGAAGAATGTGATGGGTATGTTTACAATGGGAGCAGACATGTTCAGGAACCAATTGGGCGTCATTGGAAAGAACCTCAGGAAAAGTAAAAAGAAAAACAAGCAATCCTCATTTTCCTCCACCTGAAAAAGAGAAGGGAGGGTTTGTTTTGGTGATAGCAACAAAACAATACTTCAGTTGATAAAATTGGCAGAACAAAGCGGCCAAGTCTGTCAGACAGGATCTGTAACATGATTAAATTGATTCGAAGATGATGACAACCCATATCTATATCAATAGAGAACTGATGTCTGAAATGCATTGTTGGATTTGCAAACTTTTACAAACCTTCTTTTGCAGTGAGGACACTTTGTCAGGAAAAAAGTTGACAATATGTCTTTTCCCAAATGCTTGGGAAAGAAGGTAGCACAGAGTGGATCCCACAGTAGTGAGCAGACAGGCGAGAAACAGGCCTTCATGGAGTCCAAATATAGCTCCCGCAAGAATGTTCTATACAGAGATGAGACAGGGCAAGGGCTGTGTTAATACACCGTAGACAGGTTACAGGTCATGAGAAGTTATAGTCCACTACAGCATGTAAGATAATACGAATCCACTGACAACTTGCAGGCAAAGTCCAAATGTGCAAGATCAGAATGACTGATTGTTCAAAGGAAATATTCAAAGGATTTGACTCCAGTAAAATGTAATTCAAAAATAATGAGCTAAAAATAAGATGAAACTCGTCACATGACATCATTTGAAGATGTTCTGTGCTGCCTCTGTGACGAGGTTAGCATCAATAAAGTGAATTATTTTCAACCTATTTTAGCTCACCAGGAATGAGGACCCAGGAATGGCAAAGGACTGTTTGTAGAGATATGCACTGCAGAATAGCAGCAGGACATATCCTGTGTGCTCTGTCTTATAGTACTGCAGAAGCTCAGCCAGCTCCCTCAGCTCCTCCAGGTCAGAGGGGAACTTTAACCTGAAGAAAGAAAGGAGATGTTAGGGATTTATCTTTCCCAAACATCAGCCCTGGACAGTTTGACTGGGCATAGTTTCAAGAAGAGACTCGTATTTGAAACAAAACAAGACTGAGATTGATCCACGGTCCGGTGGATGTAAGAGGTTAAATGTTATAAGTACATCGTAATAACTCAATAGTAAATCATTTGTCTAGCTCTTTCAAGCAGAACTAACTAACCTACTAACATGTATTATAAGACCATTTAATACACAACTTTTATCAGATTACATACATTATTATAATCCCCTCTACTGTTGGTCAGCACCGGGCTCAATGGGAGATATTAGGTCACTCTAATCTTAATCATAACAAACTTGAAACATTGTTGTGTTTACGAATTGCACATGATATTACAGATACTAAAAGCGATCAGGGACATGAGCTAAACTAACGTACATGCCTCAACAACAACAAACCTGTTCGCTTCTTCCGCCGGTTGTAGGGGCTGATCTGTCTCCACATTTTTGACTTCAGGGTGACGGCGTGGAGGTCCAGGAGGAAGATACTGGGACAATGAATACAGATAGATGCTGGCTGCAGTAACCACAGCCACAAGTCCTAAAAGTGAGCGCATACTCTCCGCCGCGCTCCCGAACCAAACCAGGCGCTTCTCTTCACCTGCTGAGAGCCGAGAGGAGGCGGAACCAGAGACTCTGTGTGGGAGAGATCACGCGCAGTTAGCAAAAACGTCAAAATAAACTGACATCGTTGAAAACACAACTACTCTAGTTGGGTTAGGTTTTTTGTAATTAAAAAAACAGTTTAATTCAGTATAGTTGCTAATGTATGTCCATTTTAGTAGATATAACTTTAACTTACAGCTGAATCAAAAAGACATCTATCTCCGCTTATAAAAGATCTCGGACAGCGAAAACTGCAGTGTCGTCACATCCGGTTTTCAAAACAATAATGCTTTTACCTCGAATTGTTCTTCTACTTCTTATCATTATTATTCCAACAGTCGTGACAGAATGTTAATTAAACAAATAATTAACTATAATACCGTTTCTATATATTTTTTTTCATGATGTGGTATGAAAGCGTGCGACAGATGGCGGTAGAGATGCACACACCCCAGTATTCGCAGTGAGATGAAGAACATGTGGGCTATGGGTTACAGTCAATGGTTAAATGCAATGGGAAAGAGAGAAGTTGCAAAGTCCATCCCTCAACTACAATCCCACAGAACACATCTTTGACATCGACATGGCAGCGTTGACTCTGGTCTCGGGCTCTGTGGGTTTGATAACTCTCCAAAACCCTCCTGTCAACGCACTCAGGTCAGTTCTACTGCACAAACAAAGTCAAAGTGCTCTGTACTTGATTTCACGTACGTGCCAATATTGTTGCCAAACCTCCTTGGTCACTATTCATTAAAAAACTAGCCATTTCCTGCCTGTTCAATCTACTGATCTGTGGAATCAGTAGATCCATGGTCCAAACACGCAAGATGAAAATGTACAAGAGAAATGTATAACACAATCATTAAGTGTATAAGCCCTAGCTATACAGGAATGTGCTTCAACATTACAAAGACTTTTTTAAGTGAAAGCTGTTGACAACTTATTAACCAGCCTTTTTAGATAAGATTCCTCTGTTATTCTATGATCTGTACAAACCGTCTTCACTGTTACCTAGTTGAGAGAATCCATCCACTAAATTAATTATTCTGACATAATGGGACCAAAAGTGTTAATACCTATCATCTTATTCACTTCAGTGTTTGGTTAGTCTCATTATTAGAAATTTCATCATCATCACTAGCCCTTAACTTTCCAGACCTGGCACAGTTTGCCTCTCATTGTTTATCTTTTGAAACAGTTCTGCAGTCAGACAAGGCATTGTGGACACTGTGCAGAGAGCTGTGAGTGACCCACAGGTGAAGAGTGTGGTAATCTGTGGTCAGAATGGGGTCTTTTGTGGAGGTGGGTACAGGAACTACACATGTATTTTTCAACTGCATTGTAATACCGCATAGAAATAATACACATGATGTTTGCTATTATTTTGAATTCCACCCATGTATAAAGTTGAGGTGTGAGATATGTCAAATAATTGATGTAACAGGAGCAGACATCAAGGAGTTCGGCAAGACCATGTTGGGGCCTCCACTTGTGCCGATGATCCACACTATAGAGGCTGCGGACAAACCTGTGGTGGCCGCTATCGAGGGCAGCGCTCTGGGCGGAGGCCTAGAGCTGGCACTGGGCTGTCATTACAGAATCACACACTCCAAAGTGAGTTCACGCCTTCGATCTGCCTCTGTCTCCTTACATCTGCGTTCTTTAAATGTCACGTCACGCTGCATCACTGTCTGGCTGACACGGCTACTTCCACTGTATTGTGTTCTCAGTCTTTCCATTTGAGGTCATTGTAAACTATTACTTGCACATTTAGCCTTACTAAAATTGATATTATATTGTTTTGAATATCAGGTAAATAGTGTGTAAAAAGACAAATAAAAAAAATCAAAAGAGTGGAGTTTGCATGTTCTCCCAGTCTCCCAGTCTGTCTGCATAGGTTTCCTCCGAGTGCTCCTGTTCTGAACGAGGGTGTGTTTGTGGTTTGTGAGTGCGACTGAGGAACAATTAATGGAAATTGGTGTGAGGCTACAATCCAGTGTATTTACAGAAACTGCTGTTCATTCATACACACTCTCATACAAAATAAACTAAACAAATGTATCAAACTATTTAAACCTGAATTATTATTATGTACATAAGGGATATAATTATGATTCCATTTTTTTGTTAAAATTCATGAGTAACTGTAAGCTATGTTTTATATTGTATGTATTTTTTGTAAATGTATTTCTACTTGGAGAATGGGATGGAAATCATAATCGGTGATATTTTATTCTATAATGCATTATAGTCTTCATTATTGTAAATGTGTGTACCAGAATGGCATCATAATGATAATGTACAGTGGTTGTAGCTATTATAAAGTACCTCTGCTTGTGCCCACACGCTCCATCACTTCGGTCTTGTTCGTTCCAGGCCAGGCTGGGCCTTCCAGAGGTGACCCTGGGTTTGCTGCCAGCTGCAGGGGGGTCACAGCGTTTGCCAAGGCTGATCGGAGTCCCAGCTGCCCTAGACCTCATCACCACAGGTAACACAGTCAGCCTGACCTTCTCCAGCTGCGAGTCACTTCACTCAAGCCTGTTACCGACTCTCAAACAGGGACAAATAAACCTTGTCCTGTTGTTTCACCTCATATACTGTTCTATAATTATATATTTAGTTTTAACAAAATATGCATACTGACTTTAAAAAGTCAATCTTTATGTCTTAAGTTTTTTTTTTCCTGGCTTTGATATTTTTGATTTTGAAATTTGTGGCCAAAGTAAGCTAATGCTTCTGCTTACAACCCTCTTTACAACTACAATTTTTTTTTTATTTGGTCTGGAGACCAAAAAGAAAAAAATTTTACTGGAAAAGAATGCTTCAAAAGTTTCTATAAAGCTCTGCATGTTCCTGGTGCTGGTGAACTAAGCTGATGGAAGAAGTCGAGTTTACACAGAACTGTCTCTGAAAGAGCAGATCTTTAGATAAAACATGATGCATCCCCACATTCAGCAGCTCAGATGCCACAGGACGTGTCTCATCACTGCAGCAACGGCAAGACGGCAGAGAGAACTCCAATCACACTATGTCACCAGATGGTCGAAGAATGTGAAATGCAGCAAGATTCCTGTAAGAAAGACAAGTTGGAGGAGAGGAGGCAGAGGGGCATGCACTTTGACCAGAAGGAGCTGTTGGACCAGACCCTGACGAGAAGATGGAGAGAGTCTGCCGCAAAGATTCACAGCAAAGTTACAACAGTGTGGACTGGTGGCTGCGGAGATAGTTATCTGTGATTTGTCTCCGAGCGAAATTGTAGTGCAATCCATTATTCATGTCCATGCATGCACTATAAAGGGAAGTCTCTAGCTTGAGAGGGGGTTACTCTACGCTTTTCAACAATACTATAAAACAAATCATGCATTATATTGTATTTTATGTTTCAAAATTGTTTACATTTGCTTTGAACAAGATTGTTTTTTCTCGTTTTAATATATAAAGGCTATGGATTAGATTGGAAAAGAATATTACATATTTGTATTGAATGGTGAATAAATTATATTTCACCAGCAGAGGACAGTGTTCCCTTTCAGGATCCAAAATGTGCCAGTCCTAAAGGAGATTTCTGAGAGTGGATTTTGATTTTACTGCTATTTCTACTCACATCTGTATTGTAAAAAATGTGACGTGTTCAAAATCCCATATAAAGATGACCAGTATTCGAAAAGTTAAATCCAAAGAGTTTATTCCCTGATACAAAGAGTCTAAACAGCGGTCTGGACTTAGTTAGCTCTCCCTCTCTAATCTATATATGAGTATAAAGTCAGGCGCTCTGACTTTATACTGCAGGTCCCTTGTCCAGACTAGTTCACAATTTCTGCATAATACAGTTTTATAAATGTGCTGCAGATCAGGACTCGTCCCTCGAAGACGTCATGGGCTCCTTATCACCTCAGTCCCCGAGACAGGATTTTTGTCTCATGCGAAGCAGACACATCGTTCCTGCCAGCCTGTCCAGCCTGTCCTTGAATTTCCACTGACCGCACTAACACATATAACAAAGGCCTATTATGCAAACACTTACTGATAATATAAGAACATTTTATGGAGATACTTATAAGAACATTTACTGATCAATATAATTGTTAGTACATGTGATTACTGGTAATATACATTGTTATTGTGGTTATACTTTATTCACTCTTGTCTGTGTGTCAGCATGTGCATGTTATTCACATCACTGTTTGAATAAAGAAAGTGGTATCCAGTTGTCAATGATTCAAAACTCTCTTATTTCCCACAGATTATATGTTTTTCTGTCTTCTCCAGGCCGTCATGTGACTGCAGCTGAGGCCTTAAAGCTGGGGATAGTGGACCAGGTTACAGACCAAAGCACTGTGGAAGCAGCTGTCAAGTTTGCCCTGAGTGTCGAGGGTAAGACGACTGATAAATGACATGCACACAATTCTATAAAACCTTGAATCAAAATGGGAAACGAAAAAGTTTGAGGCATCCCCCCAGGATTTCTCTTTTCAGGCTTGTCTGACATCAAGAAGTGTCGACATTTAGGTTGAAGTCAAAGGCAGCAGAGTGCTCGCCAGGCAGATCCTCCACCACTCCAGCCATGAATGTTTCATGCCTGTGTCAGATGTGCTCTGATGTCTTCACTGCTTTTACTCAATTATTAAAGAGGGCGAAAAGGGACAAACTTTCCTAGAATATTAATAATGGACCCTTGCCAGTTGCAAAGTAAGACCGCCTTGCAATCACAAATCAGACTAATTTACACTCAATGTAACGTTTAAGTGTGCCGCGTCCCTACAGTGAGGGAGCGCACAAAAACGCTCAGAACGTACAAAGCGTTCCCTTTTCATTTACTTTATAATGACAGTGACTGACAGCCTGCTGCTGTGAAAACCAAAACATGATTTCAATTTGATCAATATTTAACATGGAAGCCTTTTAAATGGGATTCCGCTGCTCTGGCGCTGTGCTAAATGTTATAAAGTTGGCTTTTGTATGAACTGCTGTTGTCTTTCTTCATCAATTTGAGTAAAAGCCGTTAACAACAACTGAGAATGTTCCTTGAATTCTTCGAAAATCACTTCTAGCAAAGAAATCCCTCTTCACTCATCAGCAATCTCCAGACCTTCGTCTGAGAGACACTTGATTTAGGTATTAAAAAGGGCAGATTTAATGTCTTATTTTTGTATTCAATGTTGAGTGCTTTGAGTTCTTATTCAAATCTTTAACTCGTGCCAATCTTTTTTGTCGTTGGCCTGTTTTGAAAACTCACATAGTTTTTGAATAGGTTTTGATTTTCAAACTATTTAGAGGTATTGGTTCTTTGTTCGGTAAAATCAGGGTATAAAAGATAATGGGGCATTGCTTTAGTCATTGTCATCCAGATATTTCTTTCAACTTTCATAATTTAAAACATTGACCCACTTAAGTCTCCATTTAAATGCTTGGTCCGTTGAGATTATTAACTTTTCATCTTAGCAATGATGCTGTTGAGAAATGACCCACATTTTTATTTGAGGAGCCAGACATATGATTGTAGAGACTGTTGGAAAGTAGTTTTATGACAGAAGACAGAAGACATTCTCAGAACATGCTGTGTCTATGTTTCCCCTCATCATTAGTGGTTGTTTGAAGTTTTGATAGATATAAAGAACTGGAGGCTTTTTACCGAGAATAATGGGCAGCTTTACCATCAGAGGCGGCTTCCACAAGACTCCAACTCTGATGGATGTTAAAGGGGAAAAACACACGACTGAGAAGTGGGTGATCAGTGACCAGAGTAAGAAGTGTGGATTCTCTTATCATTTAAAAACAACCACTGACAGTTGGTGAAAAAAGGCATAATTTCCAAAATATGGTCAAAAAGTTTTTTTTGCTGCCTGAGTGTGTAAACACAACTTCAAACACAACTGCAGATTCTAGGTTACACTTTTACTCCTCACCGTTTAGGCCGTTGGAAGGCATTCACTTTGATCGGTTGATAGCAATATCATCTTAAAAAAGGAACTTCCTGCTAGACCTATAAAACTCCTCTTTTACCTGTTGTTGTTCTGTGCTGTTCAGATGTCTTTGATTGTGTGGGTAAAAGAAGTTTTATCATAAAAACTCTGTATGGAGATTGGAGGAAAATCTGCCGGATATTTTGGCTGATGTTAGTGATCATGAGATGATTAGCAGCGGAGTCAAACAAGGACAGAAAGCAAACGTCGACATTTATGTGTGCCACAGTGTCTGTTAAATCATATAATTATACTGAATGAACATCTGCTGAGCTATAGATGTAAACGTACAATGCTTCAGAGTTGGCAAAAGGGTTTGGAGAATGGCTGTCATTGTGCACGTGTGTTCACTTGCACTCACTGGTGACGAGATTAACTTTTAGCCCAGCGGTTGCAACATCTGCCCGCTACATCTGTCAGGCTGACCAGACTGGCTGTACGCCACACAACAAATCCATTGACATCGCTCAACCATTTACAGATTAACTATGTTATAATACACAGGGTAACACGTACCGCAGTAAAATGTCTATTAAGAATGAATTTCTTACTCAGCTAGGATTGTAGTACTTTTAGTCACTTACTGTGGCTTGAATCTTCTAAATGAGTATGCTAAAATATGTATAACTGGGAGTTGGGTCCCTCAGAGCTCTTATGATGACCCACTTTTGTCCCAGACGCAGCTGAGTGTAATTCAGTGGAGCTATGAAGGATTCTCACTGCTGTCTGGTGTAATCATATCACAGAGTACAGGGATAGGAATTAAGATCTAAGCTGTGATCTTTATCTCAAATGTAACATGGGAAAACATGGAGTAAGTCTGTTCCTATAGGGAGCTATTCATGTATGTCTTATTATTGCACACAAAGGTGTTTAGGTAGTTATTATATCAGTTATTGCTGTTGGTGTTGTTAGGGACAAACATATGACTTCTGTTGTCCATGGTGTAATTCAAGGTGAACTCTAAACCGAGCTACAGCAGAGTGACCCTGATTATCTGGGAAATGGTCTGTCAAATCACTGCTTTCAGACACTAGAAGAGTATCCTGTGATTGGGTGGATAAGTGCGGTGGATAAGCAATTATACCCAGACAGAGTGAAGGCTGATAAAGGAAAGAAAATTACCTAAGCCAAAATGGATAATAGCTTTTGCCTAAATAATACATTAGTTCAGTTTAGGCTTACTAACATATATCTTTGGACAAAAATGTGAAAATTCTCATTGAGTCTGAGTTGATGATTTTTGTTTCAGTGCAATCGCTGACGTCCCGCCGGATAAGCACCCTGCCATGCCCCTGTCCTGCTGACGTGGATGCACTGTTTGAAGGGGTGATGCAAAGGGTCAGACAGAGGGGCCGTGGGGCCATAGCGCCAGTGGCATGTGTCCAGGCCGTTCAGGCAGCGGCCACTCTTCCCTACGCTCAGGGCATGGAGAGAGAACAGGAGCTCATGGCCACACTGTTTACATCAGGGCAGGCCCGAGCTCTGCAGTACTGCTTCTTCTCCCAGAGGGCGGTGAGCAGGTGGAGTCTTCCCTCTGGAGCCCGCTGGGACAGCACCAAGCCCAACCCTGTCACGAAGGTTGCTGTCATTGGTGAGAGCTTTGAATTGAAGTCAATTTGAATAATAATGGCAGTGCATAGGACGTTGTGAAGTCATGCTGTATCGTCCTGTGGAAAGTGAGCCAATATGTTGGTGTCAGCAAAGCTCCTCCCTGCAGCGAGCATGTAATGTGTGACAGTCAGGAGATAAGTAGCTCAGCAGTTTGTTCATTTCAAAATGCAAGCTATAAAGAAGCTTTGACTTTATGCTGAATATATTTTGATCTATAAGCAGGACTTTTACCTCCAAAATGAATGTGTCAGACCGGAGAAGTCACAGCCAATGATTGGTTATGGTCGTAAGTGGAACAGACAAATTTACTTGCTTCTGTCAATCTGCCACAGGGCATTTGTGGCTGCAGTAGTAATAAACCACCACTGTGTATGGAGTGAATGAATGATGTCCTGTGACATGACTTTGAGTGTCCAGAAATGCACTATATATATTATTAATATTTTAAAATATCACTTGTGTTGAATATTCCTTTTAATTATATATTTATTTCTTGTCCTGAAGGTCTGGGCACCATGGGTAGAGGCATCACTGTGGCCCTGGTCCAGGCAGGACTGTCTGTGGTTGCTGTGGAGACACATGAGCAGCAGATGATGGCAGCGCAGCGTGCTGTGTCGGGCATGTTGGAGCGGTTAGCTCAAAGGCAGGGAGTGCCCTTAGCGCTGGACCGAGTGAGGTTCAGTACAGAGCTCGAGGCTGTGGCAGATGTGCAGATTGTGATTGAGGCGGTGTTTGAGGACATGGCGCTGAAGAAGCAGCTCTTTAAACAGCTTTCTTCTCTCTGTCCAGCAGAGACTCTGCTGTTCAGTAACACTTCATCTCTGGACATAGACCACCTGGCCGCTCAGACTGATCATCCTCAGCAGGTGGTGGGAATGCACTTCTTTGCTCCAGCCCACATCATGAAATTGCTGGAGGTGGTATATGGGCCGCGGTCGGCTCCACAGGCTGTGGCTACTGCTATGGAGCTGGGGAAGAGAATGGGAAAAGTGAGTGTGGCAGTGGGGAACTGCAGAGGCTTTGTAGGCAATCGAATGCTCATGCATTATTTGGAGGAAGCCTTGTTTCTCCTGGAAGAAGGGTCCAGTCCTGAGTCCATAGACCAAGCCCTCAAGGAGTTTGGTTTCCCCATGGGGGTGTTCCAGATGTCTGACCTGTCAGGACTGGACGTGGGCTGGAAGGTGCGTAAGGCTCAGGGTCTGGTGGAGCCAGGGCAGATGAGCAGGGTGCGACAGGGCCGCAGGTACAGCCCTCTAGGGGACCTGCTATGTGAGCAAGGCCGTTTTGGTCAGAAGACGGGCCAGGGATGGTACCTATATGATCCAGCAGGAAGCAGAACACCCCGACCAGACCCCTGGCTGCAACGTTTCCTGGAGCAGTACAGGGCTCGACAGGGGCTGGTGTCTCGCCGCATTGACTCCGAGGAGGTGCTAGAGCGCTGCCTGTACGCTCTCATCAATGAGGGCTTCCACATCCTCCATGAAGGTATAGCAGCAGGACCAGAAGATATCGACATGATCTATGTGTTTGGCTACGGCTGGCCCAGACACCGTGGGGGGCCTATGTTCTATGCAAGTCAAGTTGGATTGGCCCGAGTCCTACAGAGACTCGAGCACTACCACCAGCTGCACCCAGACGTGCCCCACCTCCAGCCCAGCAGCCTGCTGCGACAGCTGGTGTCCAGCGGCAGTCCCCCCATCCAGAGGTGGAAAGAGGCCATCAGGAAACCACACAGTGCGCTTTAATCCATCATTTACTCCTTTTAATTAAAACAAATATCTGAGAAGATTGTACAACTTTACACTATAAATATATATGTGTGAAAATGAATTAAGTGGCCTGATTCTTCATGTATCTGACTAATCACCTCTGTTTGACATTTGATTTTGTAAATAATGTATGGCAATTTTAATAATTGTACCGAATAAAATAAAATTATTATAACATTCATGTTTTAAGATGGATCTTTAAATCTCTCCTTTACTTAAATACTCTTCATTAGTTCACACATTATACTGGACAGCTTTGATTTCTCACGCAGAAAGGGATCTCGTTTTCTTGTCGCGCTGCTTTTGTTTTGCGGCTGGAGCGAAGGAAGCGCAGCTGTTGAGATGTTTTATATCTGGCTTTTTCACATAAATCGAGCATACTTTACGCTCTTTGTTGCTCCTCTAACTTTGGACGTTGCCTTTTAATAATAACGCGAGTCTCTTAGAATAGCTGTGGTTGTGAAGCGAGGCAAAGATTGAGGGCGGTCTCAGTTTTCCCGTCACGTCAGGAGGCGGTGCGCTGCTTTATAGTGGAGTCCTCCTGCGGGGAAGTTCAGAAGCGCCTCATCCGTCATCCGCGGCGTATATGGGTGGATGTGAAGATGCGACTCCCGCTACTACAGAAACCTTTAGCAAAGACCATGAACTCACCCGTGCGGTGCAGCCGTGTTTTGGGACCATGCACTGATTCGTAGCGGGAACACGGACCCAGCTGCGGTGCGTCTGCCCGTCGGAGCTGTATTTGCGTCTGCGTCTGCCTCCCACTTCCACAGCTCCTTCCAGCTCCTTCCAGCCCCAAGACCAGCTTCTCTCGCTCTCAGCAGCTTTGGAACTCTTTTTCTCGGACATAGCACTTTGCGTTTTTTATATTTGGACTCGGGAAATGTTGGCATGGCCGCCCCGGGAGCACATAAGTGTCAGAAAAGTGAAAAGTTGGACGAGGCGCAGGCTTTGGCCAAAAGCTGCGCGGGGAGACCAGACTTCCTGCCTTGCGATGGGCTCTCCATTTGCGCCACACACAGCCACGGGAAGTGCTTCAAACTGCACTGGTGCTGCCACTTGGGCTGGTGTCACTGTAAGTTCCCCCCTACATGCTCCAACACGAAATAGGCTTTGTGTCAGTGTTGGAATGATGCTCGTAATGGTGTGTTCCCATGACGTATAGATGTCATTGTTCTGCTCCACTATACCACTGCTAAAACCATGTAGTATACGCATTTATCATACATTTTGGAACTGGAGCACAAAAGTCTTGCATTCTTCATTTGTTTGTCTTACACTGCTCCTTGACCCAAAGTGATGAAATCCAGCCTGTAATATGATCTATGAGTTCAAGGTGGGTCATAACTATGCCTTATTCCATAAACTATACACAGGCACATTTTGGGGACATCCGGCGAGCGCCCCATCCATCATAGTGGAGGAACAGCTTGTAGACATCACACGCATGAATCAACACTTTCATTTCTGCTTTTTCATGACATGGGCGTCATGATCTCAGAGATTTTCCCAACAGCGTTCTCCTGTGTAGGCAACTCAACTGTTCAGGCACAGTTTCCATGGTTATCTGAGAGAACTATTAAAAAAATCATTGACCTTTTGTGAGGAGATGTATGAGTACAGCAACAGAGTAGAGCACGCACTGGTGTTTTGAGTGTGTTTTTTTATGACACATCCAAATAGCCCTATAGAATCACAAGTGGGGGAAATTAAGGCATTGCAAAAGCTTGGATTGCAAATGTGTTCTAAATCTCTGCTTTATAGAGCTGAAATGTCTTTAGTGTAGTTTGAAATAGCAGCATTCAGGAATAAGTGCTTACAATTGTCAAACAAAAGAGCATAATTGTCTCCTATTTTACAATCAATACATCAATATGTCAGTTGCTCTCATGTGAGTCCATATTGGATAGTTCAACGACTGTGTTCCGTTCTCATCTGTTGTTACTCTCTTGCATTCGGATGTTCCCCATTTTCCCTAAGAGTGGGCGAGAACCATGGATTGGGCGGTTGATATATTATCCCGTTTAATTGGCAATATGTTTTTTTCCTTATTTAAGCAGGTAAAAACTCAATGATATTCCAATCTAACCTAAGTGGCAGCAGCACACAAGCTTCATCAACATTACATTGCCTTTTGATTTGATGATTTATTTTAGGGGCGACAGTGGCTCAGTCGGTAGCATTGGCCTTGTGGGTTCCGTGAGACTTTCTCCACCGACTCCCACTGATGTCTGCTGCCGTTGTATCCTTGGGCAAGACACTTAACCCACTTTGCCTGAAGCCCCTGCTGAAATATCATGGCAGCTCAGACAAAAGCAGCCACCCTCCTGTGGACTCACCACCTGCAGGAGGATCAGTGAGGGGCTGCTGCTCTGTGAACTGGGTGCAGCTCTGATTGCTACCTTAATGGATTAAGGGGTAGAAGATGGATGATTGAATGAGCAGACATTGTACGTAATTATAGTATGTTATATACTTGCAAATATCTTGACATAAATATACAATCAAGCAACAGTATTTGCCCTAGGTTCACCATGTGTTGTATATTTTCAATTTCAAGTGCTAGAGGCAATTAAGTATTGTCAGTCGAAACATATACACAGACACTACGCTTTTTATCCAAGTCTGTCAACCTAGTTTTAAAAGTGTGTGTTCGAGGAGGAGGCATTTATGCATTTTACAAAAAAATGCTTATAATAATGAAACACAAATCTGCTCATTCCATGTTACGCACCCATCTCGGCTCTATGATTTTAACTGTAGCCTAATTATCTTGGTGTGACTGTTCTTTTGATAACAAATTTAAAGTTTAACATGTTTACATTTCTAAGTAGGGTCTTTTTTGTTTGTTGCAGGTAAAGTTTGAAAGCTCCTTGAATTTAATCATGCTTACTTCCAAATTTCTCATCTTTAAGACGGCATAGGCCTGTTTCCTGTGACTCAAATCTCACTTTGACTGAGCCAAGCTTTGTAGTACACAATATATAGATAGATATAGATAACAATGACTATAACAATGACTCAGATTTACCCAAAAAAATCATGCTCTAGACGAGACTAATACAAATGTACATACAAGTATATTTCTTGAACTAGATAGAGATGTTATTTTATTTTTAAGGTAGAATTGTGCTATACTTAATATTCACTTGTGCTCCTCATTCCTACTGTTCTGTATCTTGTGATGCAACACTGACATTTCCCCACTGTGGGACTAATAATCTTAATATTAATCTTAAACTAGATGGCGATAATCGCTTTGTATGGCCCTATAAGGTCAACAGTTTTTATGATGCTCTTTATGATATTATATAGTAAAGAGACATTTATTTTCTGTTTATAATCAATAATGATCAACTATTCTATTGTCAATTAAATATCACGATCAATAATGAGATTCAGATGTAAATTATATCATGATTTGTAGTAATTCTGACTTGATAGCAGATAAAAGTGCAACGTTCTGTAAGTGGCCGTCTGCATCAGCGCTCATTAGTATTATCAGAGGCATAGATTACAAAACAAATGTCCTGCTGAGGCCCTTCTCAATGCACGTTTCCATGGGTACGCTGACAACAATTATTGCTGGTGCTTTTGTACCAGATTGTGTGAGATGAAAGATAATTGTGATTAACAGACAAAGATTCGGAGGTCCATCCTTAATTGCAGCTCGCTTTTGTTCTAGTTTTGGTCGTAGTAGTGGTGGAATGTGTGAACAGCAGCAAAGCCTTGTGCCAGACTCTGTTGTGGACAAGTTATTCTCAAAGACTTCTTTTCTCCCCCACTGAGTTGTTACAATGCTGATTTGCAGAGCCAGATTTACTGTAAATGGCTGATTCCAAAAGAACAGAGGCTCACTGCAGTTTTCTTTTAGAGATGCTTTTGTTTTTAGGTCCATACTGAGGCTTTCGATATCTGTGTAACCCGTGAACCGCTACCAGCTCCAATCACAGCTCATCACCTTCACTGATGTGCTATGTTTTCACCAGGGTCTGTTTGTCTGTCTGTTAGCAATATCACTCAAATAGTTATGGGTGGATGTTTACGACACTTTCATGAAACCTCAGAAATGGGAAAAGAAATAATGGTCCAATTGTGGAGGAGATAAGGATCCGGTGGATTTTTATCATTCATTATTCTCGGAGATCTGCTTTTCTAGCTGTGCCAAATTTTTCTAGCCTAATATTTTTGGCTTTGTTAAATCTTTACACTTGTACTAAGGTCCTAATTATCATAATATTATTATCATTAGTATTGTACATTATGTAGGTAATTATTCCAAATAATTACTTTATTTGACTTTTTTTTTTGACCCATTGATTTTTAATATTTTATGTTTTTTACTAAATGAATACTGTTTTGAACTGAACCCATTGAACTCATCAGTGAGTGAGACGTGTTATTGCAGACTGATAGAGCAATTAGTCCTGGTCCGTGTACCCCTAGTTGAGAAACACTGAAGTAGTAGACACAATACAAGCTATATTGTAGTATTTGTACTGTTTTGTTGTATTCTTGTATTGTTTTATTGTTGTTCTGTAAAGTGCCTGTGACGTGTGCTACAGACCAGGCCAGGACTCCCTTGAAAAAGAGATGTCAATCTCAATGGGTATTTTCCTGGTTAAATAAAGGTTAAATACAAAAATAAAAATACTTTTGCACGGATCCAACTAGAAAGACTTGTCCAGTTTTCCATCATTTTACACCACCAAGTTCCCATTTAAGTTCTTTGTGCATGGATAAGGTTTGGATTGTTGGTCAATACCTCTTTCCAATAAGTTCAGTAGTCTGATAAGTGCAGTATTTGCTTTAAATCCATAATTTTATTTTGTAAATACAGAATGCATTTTACTTTGTGAAGTCTTTCCCCCTGGGTTTGCTTCTATGAAATAGATTTGGAGGCAAAACAGCCAAAATCTTTTCTGATGTTCATAGTTTGTAATGTCCCCCTATTCCCTTTCCATTTCTGCAGCTGTCCGACCCGCCCTGTACTTCCTGTGCTCTCCACCTTTCCGACCGGCACACAATCACAATAACAGAGGTCTAAGGGGCTGTCAGGGTCTCCTTCTCACCGCTCAGACCTCATTTATCCCAGCTACAATCCCGCGATCAGGCAGGCAGGGACACAATCACCATCCCGGCTCCAAAGCGCTCTACTCCGGCTTATTGTGTGAAAGCCATGCCGTAATCTTGGCCTTGTAATCATTGGATTTAGATGGCCCTACGCGCACATAGTGAGGCCGTTGGACAGATCTGATGTGGCAGGAAAATGATGAGTTCCTTCCAGTATTTATGATAGGCTAAAGCTGTAGTTATGATGTTTCTGAGCAAGAGCCAGTGCACTTGCATCATTTCAGAATTTCAAATTATTATAACCCTGTCTGACTTTCAAATATTTATGGTAACATGTAAAGGCACTAGTTAGCTTTGATATGCTTCTATAACTTAAACGTTAAATTCATTTGATTCACATAATTAGTTCAGACTCAGTACATGTAACGTTTTATTCATTTAAGGGCTGAATATATTACTTTTCACAATCTAGTGCTCTAATAAAAAAACATTGTAGGAAATACGACCCATTGCAACACCATGGCTATCATCATCACTGTGTCTTTTTGGATGACAGTTCGGATCCAAAACCCTGCACCCTGCCTGTGCTTTTGTTAGCCATCGGTTTATGGGCATAATTGAATATACCCACAAGCCATGAACTCAGATGTCTGGCCTATTTTTTACCTTTTATCACAAGAAAAGCAGTTTATAGTATTTCCAATCTCAATCCCAGAAGGAGCTGCACAGTCGCAGCCACCCACACAGTCTGCTCCGCTTCCAGAAGTAAAATTCCTATTTGTTTTCGCCCATAGGATTTTTGAATACATTATACAGGTTAACTAGCTATGAAGTAACTACTATTCTTAGCAAGATTGTTTTCAGGCCAAAATGTAAAATTCATGTAAAAGTGTGGTTGCATGTCCAGGGATTAAACGCATCATGCAACCCCTGGAGTGATTCAAGGGTTTTAACATGACCTGCCTTTAAGATGGGAAAATAATTATCACCAATATTTATCTA